CTGACTTATTAAAACTTCCTTGAAAGCTTAGCCTTTCCAAAAATACACCATTTGTTTGATGAAAACGCTTAAGACCAAAAACCACTAACTCTTCAGCAGATAACAAGTAACACATCAATGTAATACGAGGGATAGATAACAGAAACAAATTATGATACAAGGATGAGTCAACAACAAAAACAGTGAGGCATGTATCGATTGTAATGCATTCTCATATTCTCTCTCGTTCTGGCTGACGTTCGAGAGTTACTTCTAAGGATAAGTGGATTTGAAAATATTTAACGGTAAATTTTAGGTTCATAGACGGAGATAAAAGAGATGAATTTCGATTTCACAGAGGGGGGAATCGAATGCGTTTTGGAAATCCAAATTATAGGAGTGCTCTGTAAAAATGGGATTTCTCAAAACTCTTATGAGGGAGAACTAATTTTGGTTTTATTCTATCAAAGAGGACGAATACCAGCGGCTCTGAGCAACTCTTCCGTATGCTTCAAAGCACACCCCTCCCTCACAATACAATAGAAATCATCCTGGGTAAGGTCTACTATTGTGCTGCCCTCACTGCTAATGCGGGAGCCATCCGGAGCCCTTCCGATGACCCCGCCATCAAGTACGAGATCAATCTGATCCATGAGATCACTAAAGTCCTCAATTCTAGTGGGATTCACAGGAGATCCACTTACATTAGCTGAAGTCTGAGCGAGCGGACGACCGAGACGAGCACAAAGGGCTCGAACCAGTGGCGAATCAGGCACCCGCACGCCGACGTTTTCAACGTCTGGATTAAAACTGCGAGTTAGAGTGGGCAATCGATTCAGTATTAAAGTAACAGGACCAGGTAGAAGCTGGCCGGCGAGCTGTGCTGGGATGTTCAGTCGAGCCCAACGAGAAATCTCTGTAGGGTCGGCAAGGAACAAACCGAGTGGTTTCGCTCTTTCACGCCTTTTCAGCGAATACAGCTTATCCGAATGTTCGATGAGTGTCGATACACCATATAGAGTGTCAGTTGGAAGAGCAACGACCCCACCGCGAAGCAGCACATCCGCTGCTGCTTCAATGGCTTCCTCAAATGTCTCCGGAGTGATGCGAAGAACTCGAGCTAGATTGGCAAGGGCTTCTGCTGGCATTGCGCGGTCGGCAATCAGATATTCCTGAAAACAG